GCGCGGGGACGGGACCGCGGCCGGCCCGCCGTACGGGGCGCCGTTCGGGCGGCGGCAACCTCGGCGGCACGGCGTCCACCACGGAGCGCTTTACGAGTCCCGCGCGTCGCCACCGCCGAATTTATGCGGAAACGACGGCGTCGGCGGGGTTACGCGGCGGCCGGCGACGACACGGCCGCGCGGCGCGCACCGCGGCCACCGGCTGAACGGTCGCGACGACGCCGACGGGGCGCGGCGCGGCGCGGGCTGCACCGGCGGCGCTGTCCCTCTTACTCGCTCAATCCCCGCCTCTCTGTCGCGGTGTGGAGCGGCGTGGGCGTCGCGACGACACGGTACGGCTTCTGACCGGCGTCTGTCTGCCCGCCCGGCCGGGCCGCGCCGTATCGGCTGCTCCGTCGGAGTCCTCGGCGTCGTCTTCGCACCCAGGCCTCGCGCAGCCGCGGAGGGTGTCGCCTCGACCGCGCCCGACAGACTCGCGTGTCTGCTCGCGACGGACTGGGAAGGGGGCCGCTCTGCGCGACGACGCTCTGCGCGACGACCAGCAAGACGCGTCGCGTCGCCCGGCTGCCGGCACCGCGACGCCCTGAGTGCCCACCGCCTGCCTGCTGCTGCGCCTCCTGTGCCTCGCGCTGCCGAGTGCCGAGTGCGCGGCTGGGCTGGCCGCGCGCCACCCACCAGGGCCCGCCCGGCCCGCCACCGGGCCCCACCAGGGCGCAGCAGGCCCCACCAGGGGCCCCGGGTGGGGCCGGGCGGGGCCCCACCATATCTCGGTCTTGCTGTCCCTCTTTCTCTCTCCCCTCTGCGCCGCACCCTATTGTCTCCGTCCCTGTCCCTCTCCACGCCTGCGCCATACTCTGCCGCTCTCACTCGCACCGCACCTCTCCTCTCCTCACCGGATCGGGCTGCTGAGCGGATTCAACTGGTGGGCTCGCCGCTGCTCCTCAGGACGAATTAACCCGCGGCGCGCAGGGGGGCAGGGCGGAGCGGGGTGGGGCGGGTAGGGGGCTGGGGGCTCTCTTTATCGCTTTTGGGCGCGTCTGCCACAGCTACCCCGCCCGCCCGTCCCGCCCCGGCATCCGACAGACGTCTGACAGTCCGACCCTCCCTGCACGCCACGTCGCCACGTCTCGCTTACTACACACAATTACTGCCAGCGGTATCACCGCCTGCACGCCCTTGCCCCACCCCGCCCCGCCCCGCCTCACCGCGGCACGCCACCACCGCACCGGAGAGGATGGAAAGTAAACTCTTTGCCGGGGTCGATACGTCCCAATAAATCATCTGGGTGTCGCCAAGTGCGACAGGCGCGGTGGGGCCCGGGTGGGTGGGCGCGGGGAGGCGGTTAGAGCGATGCGGCATATGAATTTAGTTATATAGAGGAAGTTAGATGAAGATGCTAAGGGGAAAAGAAGGAAGAAAAATAAAAATGAAATAGGGGTGACAGCCTACTGTGGTCTCATAACCAGTGCTAGTTATCAGACGGTTATGGTGCTGCCCAAATTTAAAAATGAAACTGTAAAAAATGACCAGCGAAGCGGCCGAAACGTAGGAGGGCGAGCGTGAAGTGGGTTTCGCAAAGGTCGCGGCTTGATGAGGTGCATGAATAAGAATATCACAATAACAGCAGAGAAAATCCGATTAAAAATCCTCTTTGCCAGCAAGCAGTTTGCAGATGTTGCAGAAAAGGGCAAGGATACTATACAACGACGCCACGATTCTATTTAATGTTTAACGGGGGTGGCACCGTTGCCGCCACAGTGCTGGAAAAAATTGAGATCAAAGATTCCAGAAAAAAACGCAAAGTGTGACAATATTCACATACAACAGGGCCAGTTGATAGTTTGGCTGTCTCGATCGATATGCCCTCGGGGTTCCCAATGTGAAATAAATACCAAGCGATTTGATGAAAATAATTTAATGACCTTAATAAACCGACGTTATATCACAGATGCGACAGATGCTTAATATGAGGAAGTTGCCCTATAAGAGGAACAAGAAGAAGGTAGCACTGAGGAGGTGGCGTGGCGTAGCGCCGTCCCTAAGCAAAGCAGAAGATGAGCGACAGTCTAGCAGAGGTTAGGGTGCGTGTCGTTGGATTTCAAACAGTTTAGAAGAGACCTATGCACCCAGCACCTTGGTACCACCTATACCAAAGCTTTTTACGACAGTTGAGTCATTATCATTGAGTTAAAATTGTACCGATGCAATATGTCCGCGTACACTAACCTAAACAACGACACCGGGACGGTTTAGAAGATTGTATAAACTTACTTTTCAGAAGCCAAACTTTACAGAAGCACTTTTTGACACAAGATTGTTACGCCGGTCTAGGATGGACCCAATTTTTCTTTAGAAATTCAACAAAACTTGATTTATGATCACATATGTGGATGCATCCACTTGCGACAAAACACACTGCTTTGTTTAAGGACGGCGCTACCCCACGACACCTCATCAGTGCTACCTTCTTTTTGTTCCTCTTATCGGGCAACTTCCTCATTCATAGAAATAAGTAACGAAGTAGTCGTGCGCCAGGAAACGTCGTTCTAGAAACCTAAGACACAAGTTTCGTAAATTTCACGTTGGCAGCAAATAAATAGAACAGTGTTCTCCAAGTTTTAAGTTCTTGAAAGTAAAGGACTTACTTGTCACCGTGCCAACGGGGTCTGACACGCCGATTTTCACTTCAGCGCCGATAAACAGGTAGTCGAAGTCCAGATCTCTAGGTTTGGGTCGGATGGACATCTTCTGAGGTCCCATGCCCTTGAACTCGGAGGTAAACAAGAAGGTGCCGTCCTCCTGGTGCGCTAGAGTAAACCTGGGCGTCAACTGCCTCCCCCTTTGGTCCTGCCCAAACAGTTTCTGTAAAAAAAGAGTAAAGCAAATCGTCGTATAAGGAATCTTCAGGGAATCAATCAAGGAACATTTCCCACGATGAGTAGATAGCAGCATTGCAATAGCGGCAGGTTTACCACGCGCGCATATTATCTACATTATGTTGACAGATGATCGCCGTCCCCAGGCGACCCGTCACGGAGCGACATGATGTCTCTTTGGGCCCCGGTGCCACCACCCCCGGGGACCCCCGGAGGGCCGTGTTTGTATACAACCCGCATGCGGGCAGTGCCCCCTCCCCCCCCCCCCCTCTACACACACAATGGCAGGTGCCTGTCTGGGTCAACAAACCAAAACACTGGGGAGCAGCGACGAAACCCGGGTAAACTCACCGAAACGTAAGGTCCGCCGAAGAAGGCCTCGAACACGTCATCCGGCTCGTAGTGCATGGGCTCCTTCCGCATCCTATGCGGGAGCCGGGAGTAGCGGGGGAAGAGGACAAAGACAAATATAAACCAAAACTCCGCACTTATCACACACTAGGAAGGCAAAAGAGTAAACAGAAAATGTGATTGCTGCTCACGGGTGCATAAACTTGCCGTCCAGGGCGAACCCTTGGCACAGCGACAGCGTCGAGTCCCTGCAGACCACCGCGAGCAGCTTCTGCACCCCGGGGGCCTCCACCAGCGAGATGTCCACGGACCTGCCGCGGCTGAAGCCGTGCTTCTCTACCAGCACCACGCGCCCTGCGGGGAGGGGGAGGATCAGACGCAAGCACCGATACCACACCAAAGTGTACACCCCCCCACCAACAACAAAAAATGTGTTCTTGGTATTGGTTTAATTTTCGTACACTTCTGGATTTTCCTCAGCACAATGTGCGAGTGGGCTATACACGTAACATGAACTAAAATCAAGAAAACATTATTTGCGGTGCATGACGTGACATTTTTAATCACCAGAAGAATGTTATCCTGGCGTGTCACACAGAAAGCCGATACGCCTCACTTCGTGACACATAACGGTCGTCACACTTTCTCGGTCGCACGTTTCGAACACTCCCGGCTGTTACAGTCAGAGCACGGACCCTGACCCCGGCTGCTCCGTTGGCGTTACTCACTGATGAGGTCCTCCTGGTTCTGGGCGGCCGCCCCGCAGACGAGGCCCAGCAGCGCGAAGTAGAGGCCGAGCGAGCGCGCCATACCGTCGTACACCGAGGAGAGGAGGAGGAGGAGGATGAGGAAAGGGGTCGAGAGCGCGGCACGACCCACTGCGAGAACAAGAAAGTGAGCACTGGTAGCAGCTGACAGCCTCGCGCCCATATATATAAAGACTCGGTGCTTATCGGCGGGGAGGTCAAGGTCGACCACGCGGTCCGCCCCGTCCGGGCCCCGTCCGCCCGCGCCTGGGCCTGGACTGGACGGGGCGGACGCCCTCTCCTCAATCGTTATTTATTTACGAAACGAATGAAAAAATAATAATAATATCAAAAGCAGAGAAGGAGGCGGTGAGGGCGGCAAAAAGGGACGGCGGGCAGGACAGAGAGAGGGCGAAAGGTGACGGAGCGATTTCCGGCTCTCCTCGAAATGAAAGAGATTTTCACGTTTCGTATTTGTTTATTTACTTAATGGAATATTTTTTTCCTCCTCCGTCGCAGAAAGGGGGCTGGGGTGCGGAGGAGGGTGGCAAGAGGACCGAAAATGTACGACGTGATTACGTTCCGGTCGATATTATACGCGAGCCGATTGTAAACATTACACGATATAGATAAAGCCCGGACTATGGGAGAAAATAAAATAACACCAGAGCGGGGCAAAACTTTATCTAATTATCAATGAGCTGCGCATCCATAACGTTCAGGCCCCCTCCTCCCTCCTCTTGCGCGTCTACATCGCTTTTTCGATTTCTATCAATAGCAGCGCCCCCGCCATGCCAGCAGCGCCGCGGAGTCGCCGGCGCCCAAAACGAGAGCAGGGTAAACGAAGCGTTCGCTTTAAGTGAAAGGAAACTCCATCTCGAAACACACGAAGTTACTACTTATTCCTCCTCCATTCTTTGTTTGTTGCGAGACGGATGCAATATTCGAAAAGTACAAAGGGTGACGGTGGCGCGGCGAAGGGGGAGGGGAGGGAAGCGACGACGGCGGCGGCGGCGGTGGTGGTGGCCGCACTGCTCGGCGGGAAATGATTTCATACTCGTTGCGTAAGCACAATCTCTCACCCCCTCCCCCGCGTCCCCCTTCAGCGGCGAGGACTTTTACGAATGATTGAATCGCCCCGCTGTTGCAGCCCAGCCGCGTCGTCGCCGTCAGCCACACAATCCCATCTACAACGTCCCGCGACAACGCTGCACTCACCACACACCCCGCCCCGCCGCGCCCCGCCGCACCCCGCCGCACCCCGCCGCACCCCGCCGCACCCCGCCGCACCCTTGCCCCGGCTCACCCCGCCCTCTCGGTACATTAATTACGCGGTGTGTGTTGTGCGCTGAGGAGGAGGCTCTCTGCTGGCCGGCCGCCTGGACCCGCGCCAAGGGCCCTGTTTCTTGTCATACATCTGGTGTGCTTAGTGTGACATTCGACTTCCATCACGTGCCTCGACGCGCACCCTCGGGGACGCCCTGGCCGGGGGGCGGGGCGGTCCGTCCTCCTCGCCCAACAACACCAACACAACGAGGCAAGGCTTGCATCCCCCGTCCTCCTCCCCGTCTCGGGTGCTTTTTGTCCCGTCGGCGAGCCGATTTGCGGCCCCCGCCGTGCCGTGCCGCGCCCCCTGGGGCGGAATGCACTAACGTGCCGTTTCCTCCGTCGCCACCCGCCGCCCATTCATAAACTAGGATTTCAGAAAAAATAAAAATGCTCCTCGCCACTGCAGTTGTTGGCGCGGGACGGGGTGGTGGTGAGGTGGCGTGGCGAGCTGGAGGGGGAAGTACCGGGCGCTGGGCCCCCGCCCCGCTATGGGCGCTCACAAACGGACGACGAACATCTTCGACAGGGCGCTCACAAACGGCCGAAGAACATCTTCGACAGGTTCCTCCTCCTCCACCTTGCCGGCGGCGGAGACGAGCAGACGCCCACCCCGCCGGCATCCCCGCCGCCCGCCCACACACAACCACCATGTTGTGAATGACTGTTTAGCCTCGCAGTTCCCAACAAACAAGGCCTTTGGGGCGTCGCGCCGCGAGGCCAGGGAGCCGCGGCCAGCCCGCTGCCGCCGCCGCGCCCATCCAACGGCCGGCTATCTTTTTCCAAGTCTACGGAGAGCAGCCCCCGCCATAACTTACACGCGCTCGCGCGCTGTGTCAAGGTCAGCGCGCCGCGCGCCTCGCCGCCGGCCTCCCGCGGACTAGTATAGCGGGAATGAAAGGCAGCGACGCGCGCGGGAAACCGCCCCAAAGTCCAAATCCCGAAATCGCGCGCGCGCATGCAAGCGCGCCGCGAGCCCCGCGAGGAAGCTTGCCGCGCGCGCGCGCTCGTTCCATACGTAATCCAAGCGAGAAGGGAGCCGTTGAAGGCCGATTGAAGGCGGTGAAAGGCTTCGCGGCAAAACGTGTGGCCCCCGCTACGTGTGGGGTTGCGGGCCAGGCCGCGCACATTGTGTTTCACGCCGACTACACCTCGCTCGCTCCTTTTTTTTTTGTCCCCCGCGCCGATCGGTTTGGTTTCAGCAGAGGGAGGGAGTGGGTGCCCCATTCATTTCATTATTCGTATCCAGAGAGCGACACGGAAAAGTGGAGAGCGGTGGAGAGTGGGGAAATCGGGGGTGGCATCGGGCGGAGTCCTTTGTTCCGGCCGAAGCGAGGGGAAGGCGCAGAGGGGCTGCGGAAATGTCGAAAAGTTTAAAATGAACGCCATATGCTGTCGCTCTCTCGATCTGCTCACTCTAGGCAAATGGCTGTTCCACTTGTTTTTTTCATTTATTCTCACATAAAGGCGAGGGAACTAAAGCCACCCCTATACTTTTAATTTACATCGACAACGGACAACGATATCTTCTTGGTCAAACAAAAATAAAATAAAAGACGTCACCACCAGACATTGTGTATCTGCTGTTGCTACCACAATCTGATTTCTTCTATTTGCCAGTTACGCACCCCGCGCCAGCGACGGGCATGACGACGGTGAAGGGGCCGGCAGCCGTGCACGCGACCTTCTTCATCATCTTGTTGAAGCTGAACGGGAGCGGCCAGGGGAACGCCTCCCCCTCGGCGGCGAGGCACACCAGGGCGAGGACGCACACCAGCAGCAGGGAGCAAAGCTTCGCCATCGTATTGTAGTGATCTGCGGACAAGATACAAACAACGGCGCCTTCAGAAGGAAGCACTACAAGCACCTCTAACACGCGAAAAATCGAAAAATTATATGTCTCTACAGAGACAACTAAAGTTGTCACTTGCATGATGAGATAATTTATGACTCTTTGAAATTATTCTATCATCATACCAAAAAATAACCAGAACAGCGAGGGACGCGATATGACTTACCGTAAATGAGAGCGAACAGCAAACACCTCTCCACACTGGCGCACCCTCGCTTAAATACCTTATTCTCCCTTGACGCGTGTTTTCGTCGTTGTTGTTTTACGTCCGAAACGTGACGTTCCCCAAGGAATAATGTTTCACGACGAAGGAAAGTTCGACTTGGAACAGCAAATAATGTACGCTAACGGGGCTTGACGCCGCAGAACGAAAAAATCATCAGCAGCTAAAAAATGGATTTTGCGAAAGTGACGAATAGAAATATCGTCGGCTCCAGAGACCAAGCCTCGGCGGCCCTCGATCTCAGGCGGTACTTTTCAAAAGGATTTTTGATGCTGGGTACGGAAGAGGAGACGGTATTTCCTTCGCTTCTTCTTATTATTCTCTTTTGCATAAAACCAGGTATAACTTGAACTCGATGCAGGGAAGTACCCAAACCAACAGCGTCTCCAGCATCCGACGTCCCCTTCTTCGAAAAATCTGCGAATAAGCGCTCCCCACCTCCCCACCCACCACCCACCTGCCCATAAGCAACTGTACTGCGTACTGCATGTTTATGGGCGTCGGGTGGTGGGGGTTGTTCAATCCAAGGGTTGTCGTTGTCGATTACAGTGTCAAAATGAATACAATCGTATTTAAATCTCTTCTTTGGCTTGTGCTTGTGTTGCTGTTCTCACCTCCAATATCTGCCCTGTTGAAAGAATTCACTGTTAATGTGGAGGCTGGTGTTTCGGAGTGCTTTTACGAGACAATTAAAGCCGGCCAGGTTATGGACGTTGAGTATCAAGTCATCGATGGAGACCGAGGCGAATTGGACATAAATTTTCACTGGAGTGCACCCTCTGGTCGACAAATTGTATCAGATTTTAAGAAGGCTGAAAATAGTCACAGACATGAAGCGTCGGAAGATGGAGACTACAAGATGTGCTGGGATAATTCCATTTCACGCTTCAATTCAAAGACTGTTTTCTTTGAATTTCTAGTTGACCAGGACCAAGATGACTGGTTTAAAAATAGTGTTCAAGGAAACTTAGTACCTGAAGCTGCCCTGGAGAAGTATGATATGACAGTGGATGATCTTAAAGAATCTATGACACGAGTTCACACATTTTTGTCATCTATTCGTCAACACCAAGACGTAATGCGGGCACATGAAGCAAGGGACCGCAACTTTATTGAAAATAACTTTGAGCTTGTGAATAGGTGGTCTATCATACAGTTGTTAGTCATGGTTCTGGTTGGGGGTCTACAAGTTTACATGGTACGCAGTTTGTTTGATGACCGGAACAGAGCTCACCAATTATGGAAATCTCAATTGCTCTCTCAATAATTTTGTTATCTAATACTCAGATGTTTTAATTAGGCTGATACGCTTGAAGGGATAAATGGGTATCTCTAGTCGGGTACATCAGTGGTTTTGATAGGTGTTATAATTCGCGATCAAACTTCTTATGTTCAATAAATACCTACCTCTGTGATTAGATTTTGCAGCTTCAGTCAAAGGTTTTGCTTCCTGTTATTCTAGCTAGTCATAAGAGAATCATTTTCTTGATCATTTTAAAAGCTGTGGTTCCTGTTTGTTGACTATGCCAAAAACCCCTTTTCCAATTGATTTTTAAATTAAAATAGGTAGATCTCTTTAGCACCATATAAGTTCTACAAGTCTCATTTATAAATTGTTGTAGATGCGACTGAATCTCAATCGTTCTGTAGAGTAAGAGTATGGAGACTGATTTTTAAGACCTACCATTTATTCCAAGAATTAACTAGGCTAGCCAAGATCCCAGTAGAAATTGAATGGAACATTGTACCAAAGACAAGAGGCTATGTACATTTGCATGAAGGAGAATAAGCAGGATTTTTCTAGTTTGTATGTTTGACGTTGAAAGCTCATTGGAAATTGTCTTCCCACCGAAGTTATATGCATTCATTGCACTATATCCTAAACAATTGTGATATTCAGGGTTAAAAATTGTTTACTATTGCTGAAACCATGCAAATTTTGTCTGTAAGAATGTCACAATATGCAATTTGAGTTGAATGTTTTTTCAAAGTTCTAAAACTTGGAGTGTTAGATTTGATAAATTAAAAGAATTTTCTACTCATACTTTATTTTTTCATCAATCTACCTCAATAACTAAATCTAGATTCACAGCAAGTGACCAGTTATCAGAAGTTCCACAATTGATATTCGAGCAAAATATTTAGCAGTTACCATGGGTTGTCTGGTCTGGGGTTTTGAAGTCAATGATGGAACATCAACATCATGTATTGACTTTGGTGATACAAGATTATAGATAGGTACACAATGCAGCAAAGAAAATGGGAAAAATCTGAAGACTTATTAACTGGATTAACTTACTGCAAAGGAAGGAACACACAACAAAGTAACTAAGAATAGTTAACCAATCACAATAATCATTGAGTAATAATAATTATAATAATACTAAAATGAGATCCACCAAATGAAATGAAAGACTGCTTTCAAGGAAGCACTAACACTATATAGTTTGTTTTCAATGCCAGTAAACAGAACAACTCACCTCATAGAATTAGATGTACAGTACATTTCACCACATTGCCAAAACAAGAACATATTAATGTGACACTGTGGTTCGATGCAAAAATTAAACAGTTATTCTTTTAATGTGTGGCCGTACATAAACAGGAACAATGCCAGGATGCCACCTGAATATTACAACCAACTTCTGATAGTACAGCTCAACAAATTATACACAAACGTATTGATGTTCCCACAAATTATTTGTGGTAGATGACGGGTTGTAAGAATACCTGAGCTAGACTACTCCGAAACAAGTATGTAGTAGGAAACAGTGAGAAGCTGGCAAAGACTGGAAGAACTGAAATTAAAACAAAACACAGTGTCAATTGACTTCACATTTTCATATGTTGCAGGAACTCTTATAAACCTCAATATTGCATTGAATAAAGTAAAATTTTGAAAATATACAATAATTATGGTAATCCTTACACACCTAAATTGTTAGCTTCCAATATTCTTTCCTGCTTTTACCTTCACTGGCTACCTTCACAAGAACAAATACATCTTGATGAAGGACAGTCTATATCATTACATATGTATCACAATAAGGTGTAAATTTTAGACCACAACTAGTCCACTTTTCCAGTGCCTTAAACAACTACTCACCCAGTGTTTAAAACCTAACAATCCTTTGAATCAAGCATAAACCTTACTTTAAGTGGGCACTAGGAAGTCGTGTGGAACACAATGGAAACCACAAGAACCAAATTTCTTCCTTAAAAGTTCATAGTGGAGATGTCTGGTTAGTAAGTAGATGCTCATTCACTCCCCACAATTCAGAACTCACAAAAAAAAAAATAAAAAAAATTAACGGACATGCTGAATTATTGTAACAGCCAATGTTAGGGTGGCCCACGGCAAAAAAATTATCAGACCGGCGGTTAGTTCATAAAGATCGAGATGACCCATGCTCTGGGCATTCCAAAATCGCCCCGTTCGTCCCGATCGGAACCCGGGAACCACTCGCTCAACGTCTTTGCATTTTAACATGGGTTTCTTATGGGCTTTTGGGTGTAAAATCGAAAA